CATTGTTCTGTCACTTGTGGTCGGTGTGGTAACCAGAGCCGTTCAAGAACAGAGGTTGATGATTCATGGAGCTTCATGGTGTCCTATAAATCAAGAAGGCTGATGGGGTTAGGCTGCATTCGTAGAAGTTTTGTCAAGACATGGGAGATAGGTAAAGCTAGGTAACCAGAGCCGTTCAAGAACAGAGGTTGATGATCCATGGAGCTTCATGGTGTCCTATAAATCAAGAAGGCTGATGGGGTTAGGCTGCATTCGTAGAAGTTTTGTCAAGACATGGGAGATAGGTAAAGCTAGGTGAGTGGTTGTAAGTCCTTCATCTATGTCTTGTACTCTTGATTCATTATGGTAGATTTTTATTGAGCATTGGGATCATGATTGTTTTTTTTTTTTTGCCCTTTTGGAGATTTTTTCAATTGGGTTTTTCATGTTAACTATTGTGTCATCACTATTATTAATTGTAGTTGATTAATCTTTAACACTGCAAGTTAAAATTGATAGCTAGGTTTTAATTTAAATAATGTGCTTACATGGTAATTTCACGTAAATTATTGTTTGTGCTTACATGGTCCACAAAAATAAGAATAATGTGAGTACATTATAAAACACCATTAGTTAGACATATAATTAAGTTGTATTATGGATTTATATGATAATTTCTGCTAGTCTTGGCTCCTTGGCTCCCAAAAGCCACTAGGATTATGTCCAATGTTAGTTCAAACCAATACAAGAGAGCCATCAGCTCTGGGCTAGTTTGGATATATTTGCACAATACAAACAAGACTCAGGATTTTACCCTACTTGCAAAGAACATTGAATTCATATACCCAAAAAAAAAAAAATTCCAACCATGAAGGAAGTACAATTCAGAAGGGAGGAAAGAAAACAAGTAGGGGTGTTAAACTGGCCCGTGGCCCACCTGTAGCCTGCCAGCAGCCCGGAGTGGCCTGCCCAGGCCCAAGTTTAGTCTGTGACTCTGAGCTTGGGCCTTGTGTTTTAGGGCTTGACCCACAGGCCCGTTCCAAGGCTCATTCGAGACCCGGTCCACTCTAGGCCCAATGTCATTTTCAAACTATTTTGATAAAAAAAAAAATTAGTTAGGCCCTGCTCAGTCCAAACCCAAACCTATGCCCAATTGTGGGCCGGGCTGGGCCAAATTTGCATCCCTAATCATAAAAAATGTAACACAATACAGAAGTTCTATTGAAGACAAACTTCAAGGAGGGATGTTTGCTTCTGTGGCCCATTTACAGTAAAAATTAAGGAAGATACTATCATGGATATCCAAGGTTGCTTAGAGCATCTCCAATGTTGTTAAGCATTTTACTTATTTAAAAGTTACTGTTGTATATATATATATATATATATTATTTTGCCAATTCATTTTTCTTATGTTTCACTTCAACCTTACTTTTTATTTTAACTATTCATTCAAATATTACTCACTTTATGAAATGCTACATTAACAACAAATATGGAGGAAAATGATCACAAGGGTCAATAGATTTTGCCTAGTCTTTGAAGACTAGCTACATTTAGCTAGTGAATGTGAGTTAAAATCAAAATGCCTAATGATCATATACCAGTCAATTGGATTTGAAAAAAATTAAGTTATATTAGGTATTTTAACTAATAGGCATTATATGCTTAGTAGGTTAGAAATGCTCTAGATCAAACTAGAGCTTTGAATTCATTCATTTTCTAGTTTCTTTTTTATGCTTTCCATGAAATAGGAATCCTTCATGCAATGCCTTAAATTGAGGCTCCAGTTATTGGTTTTCTAAGTTAAAAAAATTGAGTTATATTTGTTGTTTTAACTAATAGAGATTATATGCTTAGTAGGTTGGAAATGTTTTAGATGGAACTAGAGCTTTGAATTCATTCATTCATTTTCTAGTTTGTTTTTTATGCTTTCCATGAAATAGGAATCCTTTATGCGATGCCCTAAATTGAGGCTCTAGTTATTGGTTTTTTGGTTTTTGACACCGGAATGACTTTTTCGAAAGAAGATAGTACTTAATTGAAATGAAGGATTGAATTGATAATGCTTTGATTAGTTGATAATATTAGTATTAGTTTATACTTTTTTGAAATATTCATGGGAAAGTTTCATTAACACCTAATTCATGTCGAGTATACCTTATGAGAATTCTTAATTTATAGGTTGTAGGGAGGGATTTATGTCACCACAAACAGAGACTAAAGCAAGTGTTGGATAGGCAAGCTTTCTAACGATCTCTATATCTGTACCTTACTTTTAGTCATTACATTTTGAAAAGATATAAATATTTTTTTTTATAAAAGTAATCATTTATTTATTTATTTTGGTTACATCGGAAATAAAAAGTAATCATTTATTGAAAAGAGTACTTTATCCCTTGTGTACATAAGGGGAACAGGATTGACTACTAATGACAAGACACAATATTTAGTCTCTTTGCCTGGAGCACCAAACCCATCTCCATACTGATACATGCACTGAGTCATCCTAACAAGGTTCATTGCATTCCCAATAAAAGTCTTAGTGAAGAGACAATTTGCAGCTCCATCTTCATTCATCTTTTTCCATGTCTCACCAATCAAGTATTTCATGTGCTCACGGGCATCGTTTTCAGGGGCACCAGTTTCATGCATATAGCATTGGATTGATTTAGGGACGTCGCCTCTTTGTAACTCGTCCTGAATCAAACAGAATGAGTAACATATGGTCAAACCCGGTTTAATTCTTAAACCAAGCATACAGCCCTAACGAACCTCTTTATGAAGATACAAGGATAAGGGACAAGAGTCCTAGAATGAAGAGGGAACTCAACTTGGATATGGACAAGAGTCCTAGATTGGGAGAAGACTTCAGTTTGGGTAAAGATAAGACTCTTAGAGAGTTTATCCTAATCCCACTGGGAGTCCCAGATTAGCAGTAATCCTAAATCCATTAGGGCCAGGCTCCTTTTGGGACTAGGATTGTATTGGCTATAAAAGAGAGGCACCCCCATGGGTCTAAGATATGCTTTTGAGACTCAAGCTTGTGAGTTTAGTACTTGATTTATCTTTGAGAGATATACTGATTTGATCGTCGGAGTGCCCCCAGGTGGTCGAAACCACCTCAGGATTCTTATATTTTTGTTGCAGGTCAGTCAGGTGCCATCTATTCTGCCGTTGCTCTCTAACTAGTTACTAAGCGGGCAGTGTGGTCAGAAAATCACCCACACAACTACCATATTTTCTATTTAAAAGAAAGTGTTCGACATGTGATTTTGGAACTCTTCCATAACATTGTTCCAAAAAGGAAAACTCATATTTTTGGCATGGCATTTCATATGCATTTTCACCACATTACATTATAAAGCATCATACAATTTATTGAGTTATCTCTACCCGATATTTTGCTCACCCTATGTGGAAAAACTTTCAGGTGTTGACGGCGTGACTCTATCAAGATAATAGCTTAGGAGGATCTTGAAGCTTAAGGCTCATGTTGTTTTATTTTCTTTCGGATAGTGTAAGGCTTTGGTGTATTAGGCTTATGGCCCACTTTTATTATAACCAAGCAAAGTCTTAAAAACTTGTAACCGATAAAGCATGAACTTATATTTGTTTAATGTTATTCCTTATAAATCACATGCTATAGATTCATATTTTAGGATTGATGAATGTATTAATGCATGTGATGTTAATTTGTAAAACTCATAGGACTTATGAATGAAACCCAATTTTGGAAATGTTTCTAATATCGAATGATTGAGATGAATTAGACTTTCATATGTTTAATGAGAAACATATTAGGTAGTTTGATATCTATATTTTTGGGCATTACAGACTCCTAAAGCACATTTTTGGTAACTTACTTCATAACTAACCACACGAGGTGTTTCGCTTCAAGAAGAAAATGGGATAATGACTGATTGTACTTCTTTTGTCCTGTTCTATTAGACTTCTACAATAATTATATTTATTAAATATATTTATATATATATTAATCTTTTATCAAAAAATTAAGGATAAATTACACTGACACTTTTAAGATTTTTGTTTAATACAAATTCTTCCTCACATTTGAAAAATTGCATTTCCCTCCCTAAGATTTATAATCTCATTACAAATTAACCCCTGGATAATGTCATGCCCTAAAAATTTTGAATGACCATTTTGCCCTTTTTCTTAACATTTCTTCTTTTTTATCATTGTGATTACATTTTACAACTTTCCATCATTAAATTCTACCTGAACATATTCTTATTGAGTGATGATGTAGAAATATAAATTTTATATAAAATTTTCAAATGCAATTATATAGCTTAATGGTGACATTTCACTTTAAAACAAAACACCCATAAACATGATTTATATTTACAGTAACATCACTATCACAATATTTGTATGATATTTTTTGTATAAATTTTTATATATGAATACAATTTTTCATTTTTATTTCCACCATCATTTTTCTTTTATCATCTATTCACACACATTTATCACAGTATTACCAAACATCGTCATTCACATTTATTACAATATTATTGAATTTTTGTATATATATATATATATATCTATATTTTGTATTTGAGTTCTCGATCTCTGCTGGACACATAAAGATATACAGTTCATAGCATTAACGTCCAATCATTTTAAGTTTTTTTGCTTCTCAATTATTTATTTATATTTATTATTATTATTTTCTTTTTTTTTTCATTTTCTTTTTTGGGCGGTGGTGTGTGTTCCTCTTTAAATTTTGAGTTAATTACACTTAGCATTCCTATATTTTCACTATCCTCTCATTTTGGCTTTCACTTTTAATTGTGACAATTAACCTCATATATTGTAAGTCAAGTTGCAATGTCATCCCTTTGCCTATCTACGATTAATAAGGCTAGTGGAATTTGTCATGTGCTTTAAACATGACATTTTTTTTTTGTCTCATTAAAACTCTTATACTTTCATCAAATTCTCATTCTGCTCCTCATACTTTCTCTGAAATCTCACTTTGATCCCTTCACTTTTAATTTTCATCAACCTTAATAACGGTAGATAGGCGAATGGATTGATACTGCAACTTGACTTAAAGTGTAAGGAATTTACTGTCATAATTGAAAGTGAATGGATTAAAATGAGATTAGGGTGAAAGTGAAGAGTTGCTAAGTGTAATTAACCCTTAAATTTTTTACATATATGGAGTGAGGAAATCATTGAAGTACCTTGAGGGACATTGTACCCATGTTGCCTCAAAAGCCTAAATTTGAGAGCTGTAGCATGCAAATCCTCATTGTTGCACTTATCATTCATGTTGTATATTCTCTCAAGTACTCTCTCTATCTCATCCTTGAAGTGATAGAACACTCCAAGCCTTTGCAAGTCATCAACCATCTCAAGTGCATCCAATGGATCCTCATCCGCTACTTTCTCAAGGATTATTTTCACATCTTCCTTCAACTTTGCAGCCCTTTTTTCATATGCATCTCCCTACAGAAATAATTTTTTGTTAGCAATTACCATTGATTTGCATCCACTAATCAAGCAGAGTATATATAACAATAGTAAATACATATACCACATATTTACTGTTAAGTGACTGCACATAGTCATAGTCCCAAATGGGAGGTTGGTAGTTGGCTGATCGTCTGATGATCTTTTGATTGCAAGGCCCATCAGTAACAAGAAGGCTAAGAGCCATTGCACTGAATTTCGAACAAACTTAATCTTGCTTTGATTGTCTGGCTAACTCTGATGACAACCCACACTTAAATAACATGCATGCCCATATCAACTTTGAAAAAAAAAAAAAATGAAAGGAGAAATTACTGTAGTATTTGGTAGAGTTTTCGAATTATAATTTGATAATAGAGTTGTATTTTGAGTTTGTGAATTTTGGAATTATGATTTGAAAAGAAAAAATTTGTTTGGTTATGAGTTTTGAAATAACTCATAACCAAACACACAACTCAAAGCTCTATTGAAAATTCTATTCAAAACTCATAATCAAATTTTTTTAAAATTCAATTCAAAAGAATGTCATTTTGGTCTAAAAAAAAATTTCTATATTTAAAAAATATCAAAAACAAATATAATTTTTTTTTCTTCCAAATAACAGGTGGTGATTGGCAAAAAATACATATATATTATCAAAAATGCTAGAGGCCCCAAAAATTCTACCAAAAGTTTTACCAAATGTCTCACATGGGTGTGGGACCCACATGAGACCCACATTGTGTGGGTCCCACACCCATGTGAGACATTTGGTAAAATTTTTGATAGAATATTTGGGGTCTCTAGCATTACTCATATATTATTCCGGTCAACCGGCTGAACATCCGAGAGAATGTTCGAGCAAACGATTGGATAGACCAAAAATTCAAAAATGGTCTGTTTTACCAAACATGTTTTCAAAATATATTTTGAAATTTGTTTGAAATCATGATTTGAAAATTCAAGCTAAACATAGTATTAGAATATAAGGGTAAAATTAATTTTTTTAAATTCTACCAAACACAACCTACAATTTGTACTTCTGTAATTTACGCTCAATCTCACCCCCTAGATATTTCAATTGTCCTAGACAACTACTAAATTTCGAACCAGTTGGGCCCAATTATATAACACCGTTTTGAAAATTGATCGAGGGATTCAAGTGAATAGTCAAATTATAGGGATATTAAGTTCTCGTTTGGCATGTGCCTGTTTTAGTTTAAAAGTCAAAAAATTATTTAAAAAATCAAAAAGTTTATAACATATACCAAAAAGTCGAAGATTTCCTTCTTCTTTTTTTTTTCTACTTTTTACACATCTTTTCGTAAAAAATAAAAAAAAAATTCCAAACATGCTAATTTTTTTTACCTCATATTTTAGTCAAAAAGTCAAAAAATTATTAAAATAGTCTGTTTCTAAACAAGGCTTAAGACTATAGTAGAGAGATTAAAGTGAGATTTTAATAAAAAAATATAAAAGTGATAATTATAATTAATACTATCATGTTGTTGCTCTTCATTTGTTGTCGAAATGACATTATACAAATAAGCTCAATTACAACTCGACTTGAAATCAGAGAAGCTAAACAAGACAATTAAAAAGTTTTGTAAATAAAATAGAATACATTCCGTTTGGTTTTCATTTCTTGAATTTTCTTCTCAGAAAATTTTACTTTTTCGTTTTCTGTATCTTTTTATTTTCACTGAATTTTTTTAATATTTAAACAATTTCTTTAATTTTTAAACGCATCTAACATAAATATATTTAAAAGGTATAATATTTGTGAAAAAAATCTTTAAAAAATTTACTAAATACTAAAAATACAAAAAAATACAGAAAATCAGTACATTTTTTTAATATATTTTTCTGTATTTATTAATTATTTAAAATATTTTTTTCACAAATATTTTAATATTTAGATATATTTCAGTAAGTTATATCTAAAAAAATTTAAAAAAAAATTACTTAAAATTTTAACAACATTGAATAAAAATAAAAAATAAAAAAACTCAATTTAAAAAAAAATTAAAATTAAAAAATTAAAACCAAACATATTGAATGTAAAATGTAAGGGCAATTATACCCCCAGTGATATTTGGGATTCTTATTTATGGGTCAGTGTTGGAAGTGTATTAGAATTTCAATAGAGCTGTAAAAGCTGAAACTTTAATTACAAAAGAGAGGGAACTTTCTACCGTCTCTCACGTGCTCCCTCTAACTGGGTGTTTGAAAAGTGAATTTTTATGTAAGTATTTTTAGGTGTAAAATATTATTGAATAAAAAAAATTTAGTGCTTAGGAAGATAGTTAAGTTTTTTTATAATTAGATGTGATGTTTGTGAGAGAAAAAAATAAAATGATTATAAATATGATGTAAAATTTTGTTTTATTAATTATTTTACTTTATTTTATTTTTGTAATTTAAAAAAAAAATTAAAATTAAAATTAACCTGCCAAACATTCCTGTAATAATTAATGCTTGCTTTAGGACCCCAAAAAAAAAAAATGATAAAGTTTTCGTTGATTGCGTGTGGTTTGGTTTGCCAACTTAGAGCATCTCCAACGGTAGTAGGCATTTTACCTATCTAAATATTACTATAAAGTATACATTTTATTTTGCCTATCAACTGTTTTATGTTTTTACTCCCATAGATTGTGTACATTAACTTTCTAGCAAAAAAAAAAAGAAAAAGAAAAAAAAAAGGAAGAAGAAGAAGAGAAAGAAACATAATCGAAAAAAGGGTACGACCGTAAATCTAAATTCTAAATAATATATTAAATCTATTTTTCCAAAATTAATGGGACTAATTAGTCCATAAGAAAAATTCTGGGACTAAATGGATCATCATTCCTCAAAATGGGATTTAAAGGTAAATTTTTCTAATTTTTATAAAGTTAATACCATTCAAAAATATCAACAATATTTTAAAAATAATATTAAATATATAAATTAAAAAATTAATAATAATTTATAATAAGTATTACATAGTTAAAATGATATAAAAAAATTATTTTTATAAAATATAAAATTAGTACCATTAAAAAAAATATTGATGATATCTTCAAAATGAGACTAATATTAAAATATATAAATTACAAATCTTTAAAATACTAATTTAAATTCTCTTACGAAACCATTTTTTTAATTAAAAACTAGTTTGACAAAAAAATATAAAATATTCATAATTTTTAGGGGTGAGCATGGTTTGCTTTGGTTCGGTTTTGAACTAAACCAAGATCAAACCACTACTTATGGTTTCATAGAATTTGCGACTAAATTGAACCATGAAAACATTGGAATGGAAGGAAATCAAACCAAATCGAATCATGAAAATGTGGTAGGGTTCTAAAACTCCATAACCAATTATTTTCCAGTCACTAAAGACCCCTCTTTTTATTTCACACCCAAACGCTAAGTTTGTTCAAACTACTTCCAAATCCCACCATTGTTTCACAATGACAAAAACTAAGCTAAAGATCATGTGAACGTGTAGAAAATCCGTACCTTAAGCTTAGAAGACCAAAGCAACAAAGGAAAAACTTCAAAGACATCAAAGCCAACTTCTACTCAGATCAAAACGGAGCTTTTGAGGTGCTCTACCTTTTTCTCAAAGGCACTAGAGTGAAGAACTCAATGGATCTAGGTGAAATAGTACAGAGAAGAAAAGTTTTAGAGAGAGAAACTCAAGATCTAGATTTTTGGAAAGTTTTACAGAGAGAGAGGAATGAAAAAGTGATGAAAAAAGTCATCTTCGCGATCTGTTACACACGCAGTCCGCTCGAGCGTGAAAAGTGACACTCGAGCGTCAGACACATTGTTCTGCTTGAGCGCAAGAAATGACGTTTGAGCATAGAATACACATTTCCAGTATTTGCAGGTCTGCAAAAATATTGAGAATTTGCAAAGCCCGCTCGAGCGCAAGGAGCAAAAATCTGGGCAACAAAGGTTTGGAAAAACAAGCAACCAACCTATTCCAAACACACAATTACAATCCAAATGGCTAATCCAACGAGTAACAAGGGGAATAAGAGATGAACAACAACATTGAACCATGAAACCTGAGTCCGGAGCATAATAACATGTCGGGGCAAAACTAGAGTCACTATAACCTCCCCCCCTTAAGGAATTTCATCCTCGAAATTATAATTCAAGTTTCAAAACTATGATTTAAGCCATTACCACAATGATTTCAATTCAATTCCAACACCATGACCCATCTACCGGTCATTCAATCCTATCCCATTATGAATATACATTTCATATTTCCAACATATTCAATGTTTATAATAAACTCGTATTTCTAAAATTTAAAAAACACATACAATGTTTCCAAAAGTGATATGACGTACACAATATTCCATATTCTCAAAACATATGCAATGCTTATATTGAATTCATGTTTCCAAACACCCCATAACACATACAATGTTCCCGTGTTTTAAAACATATACAATGCTTTTACATTTCATTAGCATAATCAAAATCTCAATATATATTTAAACACCAACAAACAAGTCCAGATATTTCTCTCAGACTTCCAATTCACGCTCCCAAGTTGCTTCCTCAACTCCGTAGTGTTTCCATAATACCTTAACTAAGGGAATTGTCATGCCTCGCAAAACTTGGTCCCAGGTATCCAAGACTCTCACCGGTCTCTCCTCATACGAGACATCCTCATCTACCTCTAAGTCAATCCAATCCAACACGTGCGATGGATCCAGCTCATATTTCCGAAGCATGCTAATATGAAACACATCATGAACCCCGAAAAGTTGTGGCGGTAACGCGAAATGGTAAGCTACCTCCCCGATCCGCTTAAGGATCTCAAAAGGCCCAATAAACAGAGGGGACAACTTCCCTCTCTTCCCAAATCTCATCAAACCCCACCTAGGTGATATCTTCAAAAAGACATGATCTCCCACCTCAAAAGACAAAGGTCTCCTTCTATGGTCGGCGTAACTTTTCTGGCAACTCTAAGCCGTAACCAACCATTTACGAATAAGTGCCACTTTCTCCATCATTTCCTGAACCAACTCTGGACCCAACAAAGGTGCATCACCCACCTCGGCCCAACACACCGGAGACCTACATGGTCGGCCATACAAGGCCTCGAATGGTTCCATACCAATACTCGATTGGAAACAATTATTATAGGCAAACTCCACTAAGGGAAAATACCTCTCCCACGACCCTTGAAGTTAAGGACACAACCTCGAAGCATACCCTCAAGGAT